ACTGCGCCACCATGGCTCAGATGGTGCAAATGTAGTTTGCATTTGCTTTTCTGGCAGCAAAGTGGGCTCACTCAAATGGTTGCAGGAAAGTATTTGTCCGGCAGGTGTCCTTCTAATCCCCGATCACCTTCAGCTCTAGAAAAACACCAATTTTATTAAAAGATTAGAATATACACATTCTTCTTTGCATTGCCTCCATTTTCAGCCAACGACGGGAGCCCATGGCAGTTGTCCACTTCTCTTAGTCCATTGCTGCAGCCTCTCTGGTGTAGCCTTACATGTTCTTAGGCTTGGAAATAATTCCGTCCGGGTACCATTGCTTGAACTGAGCGACCACATCGGGGTCCAGCAAATGGATCCCATCCAGTTGGTTGCCAAGAGTGACCCTGGAGGAGAAAGGAGAAGAACAAAAGAAGAGCCCAATAATGAGGAACTGGAAATTGTGGTTTGCTTCCTATCCTGCAAGATTTCAAATTAGGTTTGGTTCAACAATGTGAGGGGAGAAACCAAATTCTGGAACCCAGTTGGGCGAAACAAACAGGTCTTTCTGAATTTCAGCCTGGACACTAGAGCTTGCTTTCTACTCTGTCAGATGTCAAGCTAGGTTTGGTTCAACAACGTGAGGGGAGAAACCATTCACCAGTTGGGTTGTACGTTGTGAGGTTACCCAAACAGCTCGATCTTGCAGGTGCCTGGAGAAAGCCGCTCGATCATGCCGTAAATCTCATCCGGCTTGTGACTGGTGGAGCGAACCTGCAGAGCAACAGAGTAAGTTTTAAAGGCTTCCTAAGGCAGCAACTCACAAGGCATGAATAGAATACCGTGTTTCCCCCAAAATAAGAACCTGTCTTATATTTTTTTTGCCACCAAAAAAGGCACCAGGTCTTATTTTGGGGGGATGTCATCCACTGACTAACCTCACTTGTGCGCATTGCCCGCGGCCTCCTTTTCGCTGTCAGAGGCTTTCAGGAACTTTTTCTTCTGGGCTGGTAAGGCTTTCCTGAAGGCCTCTGCAGACAATAACAGAGCTCCAGATTGATCTGGGGTTCTGCTATCAGCTACAGAGGCCTTGCCAGCCTTGTTGGCTGCGGAAGAAATGGGCCGGCAAGGCAGGTGTGGGGTGTGCGAGGCCTGGCTACAATTGTCCAAAGATAAGTATTAGGGCAGCTCCACCCTCCCCATCCCCACCCTAACTTAATTTTTACCTGTGTACTCTGGAGTGGGTGGGATCTTAATTAGGGGTTATTTTGGGGGGTAGGGCTTATATTGGACTGACGTAAAAATCAAGCTAGGACTTACTTTCAGGGTAGGTTGTATTTTGGGGGAAATGGTAGAATTAGAATTAGAATAGAATAGAATAGATTTATTGGCCAAGTGTGATTGGACACACAAAGAATTTGTCTTCGGTGCATAAGCTCTCAGTACATAAAGATATAAGTGATAAATCATCATAGTCATAATACAAGGAGATAGGCAAGAGGAAGGATGAGAAGAATAATAGTAATACAGTCTTAGTAAACAGTTTCACAGTGTTGTGAGAATTAGTGGGAAAGGGGGTACAGAAAGAAAGTAGTGTGTGGCAGTAGCCAAAAAAGCCAATACAATCCATGGCTGCATAAACAGAGGCATAGAATCAAAATAACATGGAAGTATTAGTACCGCTTTATAAAGCCTTAGTAAGGCCACACCTGGAATACTTCATCCAGTTTGGATCACCAACATCACAAAAAAGTTGTTGAGATTTTGCAAAAAGTGCAAAGAAGAGCAACTTTGATGATTAAAGGCCCAGTGACAAAAACATGAAGAACGGTTGCAAGACTTGGGTTTGGCTAGTCTGGAGAAAAAAAAGGACTTAGGAGTGATGTGATAGCAGTATTACAGTATTTGAGGGGCTGACACAAAGAGGAGGGGGTCAATTTATTTACCAAAGCATTTATAGGCTGGACAAGAAACAATGGATGGAAATTAGTTGAGAGAAGCAATCTGGAATTAAGGAGAAACTTCCTAACAATGAAGACAATTAAGCTTGCCTTCAGAAGTTGAGGGTGCTCCATCACTGGCCGTTTTTAAGAAAAGACTAGACAGCCACATGTCTGAAATGGTCTGTACTCTATAGGGTCTCCTGCTTGATCAGGGGGTTGGACTAGAAGATCTCTGAGGTCCCTTCCAGCTCTATTCTGATTGATGGACCTCAACCAAAGAGCACTGGGGGGTTGTCACCTCACCTCTGCTACAATGACGTCACAGTCCAGACCTCTGTTGAAGCCTTGGGGGTTTCCTTTCACTCCAACCTGTCCATCAAAAACAAACGAAGGTAGTCAGACACGATCCAGGAGCACCACCTGGTTCACTTAACAACCACAGTAATTGCTGACCTATTGTGGCCAAAAAAAAAAAAGTCATAAAACAGGGCACGATTAACAGCAGGCTTATTAGAGGAGCACCAACACATCTATAAAGTGAGCAGCTGTTTGTTTTTTTGACCTTGGCAACTTTAGCATGGGTGGCTGGGGAATTCTGGGAGTTGAAGTCCACCCATCTTGCTAAAGTTGAGAAATGCCACCATGAAGGCAGCTGCCCGCTTCACAGATGTGTCCGTGTAATCCTCCTTGGGAACAACCCAGAAGGACTGTCGTCCTGCTTTCTCCTGAGTGTTATCTCAACAGTGCAATTTAGACTGCCGCTGTAGGATTTCCAGGTGGCCTCCCATCCAAATACAGGTAACCCTCAATTTACAACAGTTCATTTAGTGACCATTCAAAGTTACAACAGCACTGGAAAAAAAGTGACTTAGGACTGTTTTTCACGGTTAGGGCCATTGCCACACTTTGTCACATGATCAAAATTCGGAGACTCGGCAATGGACTCGTATTTATGACTTTTGCTGGGTCCCTGGGGTCACGCGATCCCCTTTTGCCACCTTCTGACAAGCTAAGTCATGGGGAAGCCAGATTTGCTTCACAACCGTGTTACTAACAAATGCAGTGGTTCGCTTAACCACTGCAGTGGGAAAGGTCGTAAAATGGGTCAAAACTCACTTAACAACTGTGGAAATTTGAGGCTCAATTGTGATTGTAAGTCCAGGACTAACTGTAGGGAGTTGGTGTTCCATACGACAGGTGCTGACAGAGAAGACATTCTCACTACTAGGTCCCATCAAGGTGATACTACTTAATGGAAAAGGACCTGGCACATGAGACTTAATGGGCTACGTTTCCCGGGCAGCAGGCAGTGGTGGGTGGGCTCCAATTGTTCCTCTATTTACCAAGCAGTGCTCCTTGCCATGACTGAGCCAATGGCCTGCCCGTCCTGTTCGGATAATACACTGTAGCTGGTTGGTTTTCACCCAGATGATCTCATCCACCCGCTCGTACCTGATTGGCCAGAGAAGGAGACAGAAAACAGACCCCGATCAAAGAGGCAGAAGAGGACTTGCAGAAGGTTAAGGGTAGACAAGGTCCCTTTTCTACCCAAGGGGAAAACAGCCACAGCAATCCCGTACTCACCCCCATAGATTGAGACACTCACGCCCTAATTCCATGGCTCTGTGGGCAAGATGGAAATGGGTTAGTTAATCAACATTTCATCCTTCAAAAGGCACACTGACCCTTCAGTGGGAAAGAAAGTTCTCTCCATCACACCAAAGACAGGTACTCCTTAACTTAATCCATTTGTTTAGTGACTGAAGTTATAAATGGCCTGGAAATAAGTGACTTGTTTTTCACACTTAGGACCCTTGACTTCATTCGGTGCAATTCTATGCAATTCACTTGGCAGCATTAGGGGAAATCTTTTGCCACTGTCTTCTAGGATAATTTTTTTAAAAGCCCTGGAATCCAATGTACAGATCTCTGATGGGATCCCAGGGCAGATCAACAGAACAGAATGTTAACAGAGTTGGAAGGGACCTTGGAGGTCTTCTAGTCCAACCCCCTACTCGAGCAGGAAAACCTATAGCATTTCAGACGAATAGTTGTCCAAATTCTTCTTTAAAAATTCCAGCAATGGTGCACCCACAACTTCTGAAGTCAAAATATTCCACTGATTCATTGTTCTCATTGTCAGGAAATTTCTCCTTAATGTTAGGTTGTTTCTCTCTTTGTTCAGTTTCCATCCATTGCTTCTTGTCTTGCTTTCAGGTGCTTTGGAAAATGGGTGACCCCCTCTTTTTTGTGATAGTCTTATTGGAAGACTGCCACCCCTAGTTCTTCTCTCCTTTACATTAGACGTACTAGTTCATTAAACTAGACACCCCTAATTCTTATCTTCTTTAAACTAAATGTACTACTGTGCTTCCCCAAAAATAACACCCTGTCTTATATTTTTTTTGCCAACAAAAAAGGCACCAGGTCTTATTTTGTGGGGATGTCTTCCACTAACTCACCTCGCAGCGGTGGCAGCAACAGGCCCACCCAGCAGGAGCCCACTGCTGGCCCACTTCTTCTGCGGCCGCTTGTCGCCGCTTGTGTGTGTCGCCACCAGCCTCCGTTTTGCTGTCAGAGGCCTTCAGGAAAAGCCTCTGCAGCCAATAAAAGAGCTTGTTAATCCAGAATTAATCATTAATACAGCAAAATGAGGGCGGGGGTGCCACATGTGTCAATCTGGAGCCTGTTTCTCATCTGCAGAGGCCTTTCCTGAAGGCCTCTGACAGAGAAACAGTGGCTGGGGGCGACGCGCACAAGCGGCCACAGAAGTGGGCCAGCAAGGTGAGGCAGGTTTGGGGGTGTGTGAGGCCTGGCTGCAACTGTTGGAAGATAAGTATCGGTAGGGCATCTCCACTTCCCCCCATCTCCATCCTAGCTTGATTTTTACCCATGCGCTCACCCCACCCCATGCACCCTGGAGTGGGCGGGGTCTCAACTCGGGCTTATTTGTGGGGTTAGGGCTTATATTTAGTGCACATGTAAAAATCAAGCTAGGGCTTATTTTCAGGATAGGGCTTATTTTTGGGGAAACATAGTAGTTCATTAAACTAGACTCCCCTAGTCCTTCTCTTCTTTAAACTATATATGCTAGTTTCATTAAACTAGACACCCCTAGTCCTTCTCTTCTTTAAACGAGAGTATAGACTCTAGACAAATGGCACTGAAAAAAGTGAGTTATGAGCTCTAACAGGTTTTCAGAGAGTTTTTTGAAAAAAATATATGATTGTTTTTTACATTACTTTTCACATCACAGCATCCCTATGATACATGATCAAACTTCAGAACACTTGACGACTGGCAGGTATTCCTGCAACAGTTCTTCCTATCTTTTGGCCTCCCATAGTTTTCCACCCTGAATTTCCTAGTTCAACCAACCAGGAACTACCACTTGCCAAGTCAATGCTGAATCAAGACTAGTCCAGGCTTCTTCCTGTTACCTCATTCATCAGCAGGCTTAGATTCCCCATTGTATCACCTACCAGTCTGGGACCCACAGAAAAAGGAACCCGTCATCTTGAAGGACAGGGACGTTGAGAGGCCTCATCTCATCATCCATAAGTGTCCCATAGGGAAGTTCCATGTGAATGTCCCAGGGTGGGTCAGCCATCACCACAGCGAACTTGCCCAAGATGTTCACGTCCAGGTCACAGATGTCACAACAAATCCACTGCTGACACACAAAGGAGACAACCAGGGATGTGTTAAGCAGCACAAGCAGATTCTGATGTCCTTTGGCGATTTTGGAACTGTTATCCAGGCGTGTCCCAAAGGTGCTTTTTCCAAAGGCAACTGGACTTTGCTTTTTCCTTTAAGACATTTTTGCTTCTCATCCAAGAAGCTTCTTCAGTTCATCAGCTTTATTGAAGAACTGAAGCTTCTAGGATGAGAAGGGAAACGTCTTCCAGGAAAAACCAAGTCCAGTTTGCACCTTTGGGACAATCACAACCTGGATGGCTGAGAATCTCCATAGATATTTATTATCCATGCAATTCAAACATTGGGTTAGCTAATCCCATTATAGGCAGTCCTCAATTTATGACCATAATCGAGCCTGCAATTTTGGTCTTAAGTTATGACTGCTGAGAACGCTTTTTTTTTGGAGCAGTCATTGTGCAAACCTGTAGTTCACCAGGGGTGGTTTTCTTGCTTGGAAACCAGAAGTAGATAAAGGCCAGTTTTTGGAATAAACGTTACAAACAAATCAAACAGTCAAAGTCATGTGACTGCAAGATGCTACAAAGCACAGGAAACCCTATACCATTTCAGACAAATGGTTGTCTAATCTCTTCTTAAAACATCCAAGTGTTGGAGCACCCACAATTTCTAGAGGCAAGTTGTTCCACTGATTAATTGTTCTAACTGTCAGGAAAGTTCTCCTTAGTTCTAGGTTGCTTCTTTCCTTGATTAGTTTCCACCCATTGCTTCTTGTCCTGCCTTCTGACCCCCCTCTTCTTTGTGGCAGCCCCTCAAATACTGGGACACTGCTATCAAGTCACCCCTAGGCTTTCTTTTCATTAAATTAGACAAATGTGGGCCAGTTGCTGAATACCAAAAATGTGGTAATATGACCACTGCTCCCCTCCCCAGACGTCTGACCTTTGAATTATTTTAACAACAAAACAACATAGACATACCACATAAAACATAAAAATATCATCCTTCTTCATAAATTTACAAACAGTGCATCGGTTGGTTTACCACTTTTTTTTTGTGCATCCATTTCCTAGTCACTAATATAATTATATTACATAATAGCTCATATTATCAATCAATAATTGTATAACCTAATATCATCACTAAAAAATCATTTATCTATAATTTTGTTAATTCATATTTTAATGAGATAACTATAGTTTACTTAGTTTATTTTGCAATAAATCATAAGATCATACCAAATCTATCTTTATAATGTTTTATAAAGATAATATCAA